GGCGTACATTACCGCGGCCCAGATTTCTTTCTCTCCTTCTCTCCTTCTGTCTTCTTGTCTTTGTCTCTCCTTCTCTTTCTCTTATTCTCTTATTGTCCTTTTCTCTTTTTCCCTTTCTCTCCCCCCCCCCCCCCCTTCCTTTTTAATTCCTACAAATGAAAAGAAAATAGCAGAAAACCCGTCGTCCTTCGCTCGAAACCCTCGAGATACATTTGCCGCGTAGACACACGGAATTGTCCTTTTGAAAAAAAGGAAAAAAGAATTCTTGTTTGAACATTGTTACGTCGATCTCCCCCTGCCACTTTCCTCCTCCCAAGTTTACGCTGAACAAATTTTTCTATTTACGAGGAGCAAGGATAAGATCGACAGAGGATAGGGCGGTACATCTTCGTATTTTTAGGCTCGAGAATAATAAGTTCGGCCGAGGTAGAGAAGAATGGTACTGAGATAGGCGGTGGGAGGGATGACGGAATGACACACTAATTCAAACGAGTTCCTTGAGAGCTTTCCTGGCGACCTTCTTTGGGAATCGATGCTGCCCCTGTTTGGAACAGCCGACCCAATTTCCCGGATACGAGAGTAACACGCGACATCAGATACAAGCGGCGAAAACAAATTCTTAATGACACTACTGGTCCTAGTAAGAAGCAGCCGCTACGCTACTGCCGCTGTTCACGGCACGAATAGTACACGCGAAAGGACGACGAACGGGTAGCGATGGGTCCAAGTAAAAACGAAATCGCATTAACCATACTTACCTACTTTCCTCGATCGTCGTTCCAACACTAGCTACATCTTTAAGAAGCTTTCCATTCTACGGTAATTCCACCATTCTAAAGTGCAAGTGGAAATCTCGACGATTGGTCAGACGTGCCTGGAAAATTTCGCCAGGCAATATTCCCGAGACTTTACATCCCTCGAAGAAATAGACGGAAAAAAAGCGAACTTCCCGAAACTTCGGGAAGCAATATACTATAGAATTCTCCTGTTTGAAAGCACAGACAGAAAAGTGGTTGGAGAGCTTTACGAAGCAATATATCAGAAGCTTTACGTCCCGAGAGGAACGTAAGCCAGCAAGAAATACCGTATGTATATCTAAGGATTACGAGAGATTCGTTTGATAATTATTCCGGTTTGGTAAAGAATATCGAGGGTGTATTTAAATTGGAAGCGGTGAAACGAGAGAGAGGCCTGTTGTAAAATCGATCGCGAGAGGGAAAAGTCGGGAATCGGATCAAGTCCATCGCTAGAAAACGGTCGACCGGCTGACCAACCACGGATACGCCTTCCTTGCCACAAGCCAGGTCGTGTACGCTGGGTCAGGAGAGAGAGTCAGTCATACCGACGCCGTGCTACCATTCGCGTCACTCATTGGTCGAATCCCGACGACAGCTTTGCTCTCGAAGATACGACCGACGGTCACGCAGGCTACCACGTACGGGAAACTTGGCTGTCACCCTCTCGGCAATCCTGCGCCGATCCTCGCCTACGTTGGATGCTGCTCACGCATCTTCACGCCGATTTCACCGTCACGTGACGACGGGTGGGTAGCAGACGATCACCTCCGACCACAACCGGGGAGATCTTCGCGTTCCTCGAGAGTTTGCATGGTGATGGTATGAACGTGGCAACGAATTTCTGTGATTTGCCAAATTTTTCCTCGTTTCTCGTACGATACGTTTGCCGAGAGATAGTGAAATCGAGAGTGCTTATCCGGAGATCTTCGAAGTGCCCGCAAAACTTGCAAGTTTCCCTAGGATTTTGGTATGTGTGAGAAATTCGAAAGGTTGCATTATTCTAAATTCTTCGACGACTCTCCAACGTTTTCAGCTCACCCGCCCAGTCGTTTTCTCTTCGATTTCTTCCAACCCATTTGCCGCATTGTATCGGAAGATCGCCGTGGCAATTTCTCACGGATCGATCGCCGAGAGGTTCTCGTAATTTGGGCGGGAACGTTTTGCAACTAGGGAACGATCGGTAAGTTCGGTTTTCGTGGCGATAAAGTACGTAGGTAGACTCGGAGGGGAAGTTGTTTCGAAGTGGGTTGTCGCGTTCTCTACGAACTAGCCTGAAGAATAAACTAATTTTTTTAGCGCGACCTCGCGAATCGAGTTATCGCGATCGTCGATCGATTCCGTGGCTCTCTTTCGCAATTGAACGCTGCGTTCAAAGCCTTTTGTAATTCCTCCTCTCCCTCCCCCCCACTCTCTCTCGGTTGATGAAAAGAACGAACAAAGGCCTCTCGTTCGAATGCACGCGCGACTAGTGCGGGTGTGATTAATTGGTGATTGAATCACGCTTGTCATTAGGAACCGTTGACCCGTATGCAACGAGATTCAGAAAGACCCTCCTATATCCAAAAATAATCCCCGCCGATTTTCCACCCTGCATTCTCTCCTCGTGAACTTTCCCGAAAAACGGTGGTCCGCTAGAAACGGGCGAGAAAAAAAGGAAAGAGAAGAAATTACACGTCGTTCCGTTCGGACGTCGCGAGGATTCTATTCGCGGTAGTCCTGAAAAGGGAAGAAAAAAGAAACAGGGGCGCTAGGTCGCGAAACACGTGACCTCGTCAGTTTGAGACGGCTGAAAAAGTTTGGCCCGTTCAAGGCCGCGCGTTATCGATCATGGGGTTCCCTCGATCGGGAGCAAGAACGCGGGGCAATAAAGAGTTGCGGCAGCGGCGCGCGGCCCGAATCGAGGTTAGCGTGCCGCCGAAGCTGGACCCTTTCTTCGTTTTCTGATTATTGACCGGGCGCTCGTGACGCGCTACTCTCGCGCCATCTTCCGGCCGCTCGCTTCAACTCGTGGAGAAAAATAAGTTTGGGCGGGAGGGAGGTGCGTCGTTGGACGCGAGTGATTCGCGAGATCGTGCGTTGTCGATTTTCATTTTCGTTCGTTTCGTCCGACGTTCGCGGGAAATCGATCGACCGTTCGATTGTTTGCGTAATATTCGCGTGTTATGTCACGAGTTGAACGAACGCCGAGAAACGACGATGTCCAGTCGAAACCGCGACAGTACCTCTTCGTGTGTTTACTCGCGTCGAAACGATCCGGGACGATCTACGCGGGAAGTGGGGCCGGGATGAACGATCGTTCGTGTGTACAAATATTCAAGGTGGTTGCACCGTTGTTCCAACGTTCCATTCGTCTTACACGCGAAGCGAGACGTACGTGTGTAGCGGTCAGCGTGGTGAATCGGTGGCTAGACTGGATGGCCGCCAGCTCGATCAACACGGTAGGTCGAGCACGTGGTGTGAAACGACCGACTGATTCGATCCTCGGTGTTAGACTGTGGTGAAACCCGATCCGTTCTCCGGTGTCATTTTCTTCTGTAACCATCGATCGAACCTCTCTCTTTCTCCCGTTCGCTCGTCCAGTCGTAGAGAGAGAGGATTTCTCAAGCACGCGGTGTTGTGACATCTCTGTTGCACTTGTTTGCACGATGCATTCGTCTAGTGCGTTCTTGCCGGTGGCGGCACCGCGCGGCGTATCCCGGAACTAGGTCTATTTTGATCTCGGGGGTGGTCGAGGAGGGCGTGGATGGTGGTTAATTGGTGAACTGCGTGCGAGAGCATGTAGGTGTAAATGGATGTTCGAGCGACTGGTCTGGTTCGAGCAGCCCCACTCGTCCGCTCGTTCACGTGTTTAACAATTAAATATTTCAGTCGTAGTAGTCCATCATCTCTGCCGTTAGCCGGAATAGGGAGAAAGCGAAACCGTTGGCACGCTGAATTTCCCTCGATTTCCAAGCCCCTATGTAGAACGAGCAGCCTACAGTTTACATTCGTGCTTGGATGTTTAAAAAGGTTTCAAGGTCTCTGCTCCACTTTTCGATTCTTCGACCCTATTTCCCCCCCTGTTGCGAACCTTTAGGAGGAATCAGGGAAGGACGAGTGTGGTTAGGACTGATCGTGGAAAGAGTTGGCACGGTTTCAGCCGCTGATATAGCCCGGGATCCGCTTATTACAATTCCATTCGCGTTTCTCGAGAAAGAGAGAGATAGAGTGGGGAAGAGGAGAGTGAGAGGGGAGGTTAGGGGCGCGCGAGAGACGTCGCGAGGTATATGATCCGGCTGTGGATCGTGCGCCCTTAACAACTCGAGCCCGTGTTATCCATTTTGTGCAATCTGATCGGCATCGAGCCGTGTCTATACGGCCTTGGACGAGCCTGTTCTCGATGGTTCGCCCAATTTCTCGCGACTGGTTGTTCCGCGTCGCGTGCTCCGGTGCTGCCACCGGGCGGTATCCAGTGAAGTGAGGCGAGCACAGGGCGAGAGTTCCGTGGTGTGGTGCGCGGAGTGAGTCGGCGTGATCGCGGAACGGAAGGAAGACCTTGTTTGGACATTGGCGTGAACGCTGTCGTGCACGTTGTCACAGTTTCCTGCCTCTTCCCGCCTCAAGCTTCCTCACTTCTCTCTCTCTCTTTCTACATATATACACTCTGTCGCGTTCTTAACTCTCTTCTACCCTATACTAAACCTCTGTACACACACCTCTCTCTCTTTCTCTCTCTCTGTTCCTTCGTTATACATCCACCCGGCGATAAACCCAAGTTAGAGAGACAGAACGCTTCGTTGCGAAAAAGAAAATGTTCGTATTACGAGTTCTCGTTGCACGTGCGTGAGAGTCAGTCGATCGCGAATGGGTGGTGGAGGTGTGTCGAAAGTTGGTGAGGTATCCGGTGTGTTGCATGAAGCCGAGAGGAGGTAAAAACGGATCGTCGGGTTACGGCCCGCCTATCCGTTTTCTATCGTCGAGTGCACCGCAGGACATTCCATCGGAACTGGAGCGTGGTCTCTCGCGGCAGGAACAGCTATCGCCGTGAAATCGAGCAACGGAGGAGAAACAGCGTGTAAGAAGAGGAAAAGAGAGGATCTACGGGAAGAGAAGAAGAGAAAGAGAAGCGCGGCCGCGGTGGTAGCGAGAGAGGCAGGCAGGAGCAGCCACGGCGGAGGCGGATCGTGAGAGGTGGAGTGAAAGGGACCGTAATCGAGGATTTGAATGGGTGGGCCGGGAGCCGGTAGGGTTAGCAGGCACGAGCTGAACGCGGTGCCAAAGAGCGACGTCGGTCACGGGGATCGTAGCCTCGTAATCGGCGAGCCAACAGCACCACCACCACCAGCAACACCGGCCTGTCGGTGTCATTCGAACACGGACAATAACGCGATATCACAGCTGCTGCCGCCTTCGCCTCCGCCACTCGCCTCGCTGCACATCGCGAACAACAGCTGCGCGACCATCGGCAACGACAATACCGCCGCGAAACCGAACGCGATCACAAACGGTACCAAGGCTGCTGCGACCATGTCGTCGCCGCCCAAGCATCGAAGGGGCTTCGACCCCAACGACGTAAACGCCACCGACTATCGCCGTTATCGTCGCGTTAAGACGAGACGGTGAGTTTCTTCTTCTTCTTCTTCTTCTTCTTCTACTATTCCCTTCTCACTCTACTTTGCCTTACGTTCTATATATTATTCTTTCTCCGTTCGAGCGGAGTCATTACGTATTCACTTTGCCTTAAACTCGGACTGCGTATCCACGGCGCGAGTCCTCGCTACTTTCGACGGCTTGCGACAACTCTTCCTCTCTTCGATCCTATCGGACGTGTACCTAGTTTCGTCAATCGCCGAGGACGGATTGGTGGAAATCGATAGCAAGTTCGTTAGAGACTACGCGTACCTTTACCAGTTTGTCATTCTTGTCGGACAAAACGGGGTTAAGATAGAGGTAGGTAGGGAGAGGTTTGTCCTGTCGAAAATGAAACGACGCCCGGTGTGTAAGGAGGTAGCGAAGGCTCGTTAAACCTCTCAACTCTACCTGCTACTCTCTTTTCCTCTCTGTACTTTAATCAAGAGAAGGAAGATACAAGCCGTCCAAGTCGCGTGACCCGTTCCGTGTATCGTTCTCTTCTACTACCCGCCTATAACCTCGCCTTCATGTTCTGCCTCGTAACCCGGTGCTGCAACCCTCCTCGAATCCTCGTGCGTCCGCGAGCAGGAGGGCGTCTCGCGGTCATTGGCCGCCGTCGCCGAATGCCGCTGCCATTCTATAATCAATCCGCCGATTGAATAATTCACCAACTCGCATGGCTCTGCTGGCTCCGTTGAATCGAACTCTCTCTCCTTGTTCTTTCACCCCCTTCGAGCTTCTGCATTGCGAATCCGCCCTTGAGAATTGCGACGCTGGGAATACCGTCGAACTTGCTCACCGACGAGCACGTGTATCTAATAGAATAATTATCGGTTCGTAGAAAATGCCGCCGGGGGAAACACGTTGACATGCCCGCCACTCGAGTCACTCGCGTATTTCCCCCGGACCTATCTCTCGTAAATTTCTTATCGATCGGTGAAACCGGACGTCTGACGTCTACTGGTAGTAGGCGGCGATCCTTTCACGTTGCCCGTCTGTCCGATCGTTCCGAAATTTCTCTGGTACCGCGTGGATTTCGCGTTACTTTGAAATCGAGACTACCGCGTTGTCGCGCCGTTCAGATTTCTCGTATGAATAGAGGAAATTTAGCGGAGAATATGCTCCTTTGCCGGGACATTTTCGTATCGATTTCGACGCTCGTCGCGTCTCGAGAGGGAGAGTTCGAGGGGGAGAGCACGAGGAATCAGGACGAAGCATGATCCCAGAGCGTGGCCTCCTTGATCCCTTGATTCGATCCTTGTCCCCACGGAACACTGCGTTCCAGCCTATTCACGCAGCTTCCATTGACAGCGAATGCACAATGTTCACAGAGGCTTTGTATGTTCCACACCGTGACCTTGGGAGCCGGACACAGACCTCCCCGACATCTCCCGACATATATCTGTCAGCACGAGGCATTAAAAATAAAAAAAACACACACAAGCTTGCGATGTTCGATGTTGGACCGCTTAACTGGTTGTACCCCCGTCGCTGAACATGCGGTGAAAGTCAAACGACTTGAACGAATGCAAAAAAAAAAAAAAAA